CGCGGCCTGCCGCCGGGAGGGAGGGCGGCAGGCCCGTGTGCGGGGCACGCTCCCTTTCTGGAGCCGGCGCCCGGGCCCCGAGACGCGGATCCACGTTGATGCGGTGCAGGGATGACGGTGGATGCGGCGCGGTTCCCTGCCTTGTCCCTGCGCGTAGCCAGCTGGCTGTGTTTGGGCAAGGAAAGGAGGTGCAGATAGGCTCGGGTGCTGGGTTGCCGCTTGGCGAGCGGAGCTCTGCGAGGGCGATGCCTCCCCTGTGCAGCAGGCCAAGCCTGCACGTCACCGCCAAGCAGCGGGCGTGCGTGTGGCACCCTTGTCCTCCGCGGATCCGGGCTTTGTCACAGCGAGGATGGCTCCCAGAGCAGGGACCAGAGGGCAGTGTGGTCCCTTGGGAGCGCAGAGCCCATTTAGGTTGACCGTTTGCTTGTGGTTAGTGTCCTGAGCATGTCCCTGGAGTGTTGGCGGATTATTTATGCTGATGTGGGAACCTTAGCTTTGAAAAACTGACATTACAGCTTGTATGTGTTCGCCATGTTGGTATCTTCTAAAGCATGGAAGCATCAGCCTTTCCTCTCAAGACTGTAAGTGCTTATCTCTGCCCTTTGGAGGCTGCTGAGGATGCACGACACTGGCACTTGCCTCTCCTTGCTTTAAATTCAGGCGTTGCCTTCTGCATCATGTGGGAAAATGATATATTCCTCTTTTGAAGTGCCACATGGCTGCTTTCTGTCCCATGAACAAGCACTCTCCTGCTCTCAGTGGACGTTTATTCAGTGCAGAGAGACTTGGTTTATTTATTTATGTCACACCTAAAGGGGTTGGTGGCGCTTGCTGGTCTAAGTGAGACATGTTCTAGTGCCAGAGTTTCCACTAGAGAGAGAGTGAAGAAAATGGTGTGTGGAAATGACATTACTTAAAAGCTCAAATCTCATCATGGGTTTTATGGAGCTCTGAGTGCCTCTCCAGTTCCTGAACTCAGCTAGTACCTCCCAAAAGGCTGCACTGCACAGCTTAGTGCTGACAGTGAATTTGGGTGCATATGAATGTTTGATGACTCAGGCGTTTGCTCCCTGATCCAAAGGTATCAGATTGGCCGGGCTTTAGTTTTTTCAAGGAGTGTGTGGGTGCCTGGTAGTCACACGTAGCTCACGCATGGGGTTGTGCAGGGCAGCGTGCACTGGCACTTGGGGTGATGCAGCTTGCAGAGTGTTTCTGCTGCTTTGGCTTGGGAGGGAAACTGCATGGAAGTGAAGCAAAGATTGCTTTAATTAAACAAGGAACCCAGGGTAGGGCCCTTGTGGACGAGGGAGGTCGAGGGGAAAGCTGAAGTCATGTCACAGCTTCAGCTGCTTTAGCTGGCTTGAGCAGCGCTTCCAGAGACGAATGTTCTTCCCTCATCGACGTTGACAGGGCCATTAACGTGTCACCCAGGGGCCCGTGCTGCTTGGCTCATCTTCCCCCTCTCCCACTCAGTTGTCATGCACTGAGCGCTGCCCTAGTGTGGAACCAGGGAGGTTTTCCACCACAACTTGTTCCCTGGAGCTAATCAAGACCTCTCAAACTTGCTGTTGTCAAAGAATAAGCAGGGATAGTTGGAAACCTCCTAGCCCTTCCCTTTTGCTGTCACTGTTTGCTGTGTTTCCATACAAGCGGTGGTGTTTTTGTCTCTCATTAGGGCATCAATGTCTTTGGCCTTAAATATAAGACTCTGTAGAAAACTATTAGAAGGGATTATATGAGCTGCTGGCTCCTTTTCTCAGGCAGCCTGAACTTAATTAATATTGGCTATAGTTGACCTGTGTCAGTCTAAGACAAGCCAAGTTCCTGATTCATTGTAGTAGGTGAGGCTGTGCTGTCCTCTTCCCTCCTGTTTCAGTGCTTTCTCATCATCTATGGAGGTGGGATATTTATAGACTGTTACAGAACACCTTTCTTGTACCAAGCTTTGCCATCCCCTTGTGAAGAACTGTGGTCAGTTGAGGCCTCTGTTAATATGTGTAGCTCTGCTGATTTATACAGCGAGCAAACAGCTAATTGTGCAAAACCGGCTCTTTCAGAACTGAGCCTTGGGATAGCCCTGCTGGGAATTGTGCTGTCCTATCTGCCACGGTGGCACTTGCTCAGGTTCTGGCTTGCCTCTGGCTCAGAGAAAGCAGTGAGCAAGTGCTCAGTTTTGCAACCACAGGCTCCCCGGAGGGTTCTCTGAACAGTAGGTAGTAATCTGAACAAAGCAGTTGTTCCTAGCTGTGAAGTCTTCTGCATTTCCTTGCTCTACTGTGTGGGATTGAGCATCACTGCTTAACCTGGCCTCATATCTTCCTAGAACTCTACTATGACCGAGGGAACCACCATGAGTTTGTATCTCTCGTAAAAGACCTGGCCCGGCCTGGTGAATTCACTCAATCACAGACATTTGACTTCGAATTCACACATGTGGAAAAACCTTATGAATCCTACACAGGGCAGAACGTGAAGTTACGGTGAGTCTCCTCCCTTCGCTGACCCCCGTTCTTGGTCCATGCAGTGTGCAACTACTGATGTGCACCATAAGGCTAACAGGCTCACAAATGCATGAAACGCTTATACAGGTATTACAAGAATCTGCTTTTTCATTGGAAAATTCTGTCTTTTCAAACATGGGGAATTGGCTGCTCCAGTAGCCAGGGTACCGACAGGATAGCTCAGAGAGCCCAGTCTAATCCATTCAGCCCCGTGTTCCTCCTTGTGCTGTCTCTGTTGCTATCTGTGCTGTTGTTCTTGCAGGTATTTCCTCCGGGCAACCGTCAGCCGCAGACTGAATGATGTCGTGAAGGAGATGGACATAGTTGTGCACACTCTGAGCACCTACCCAGAGCTCAACTCCTCCATTAAGATGGAGGTGGGGATTGAGGACTGCCTGCACATTGAGTTTGAGTATAACAAGTCCAAGTAAGTGTCTCAAGAGCATAAGGAATCACAAGGCCATTGCAGTAACTTCACAGTCCCAGTATCCTCAGTGGCATCAGTATTTCCAGGTGTCTTCAAGGCAGCTTTCTCAGCTGATGTGGCAGATCTCCCTGCAGTATAACCTTTGGGTTAGTTTTAATTGAGCTAAAAGAGTTTTTCTGGAGCCTTTGCTATCACAGGGGTTTCTTGCAGATCTATCTGATCATGCTGAGTGTTCTTGTTTACTTCCAAGGGGCTGGAGGATGAAACCTAATGTATTGTTTAAAGCAGCCTGGTTGGGGTGTGGAAACAATGTGAAATTGAGTTTTGGGGCTGAGGATGAGAGGGAAGTGCCGGAAAATTGAGTTGCTGCTGTCCAGCCTGAATCCTGGTCCGCTGTGGAGTGGTTGATCATGGTGCTCTCCTCCTTCGTGTGCTAGGTATCATTTGAAAGATGTGATTGTTGGAAAGATCTACTTCCTGCTGGTGCGGATCAAGATCAAACACATGGAGATAGATATCATCAAGAGAGAAACAACAGGGACTGGACCCAACGTATATCATGAGAACGACACAATAGCTAAATATGAGATCATGGATGGGGCACCTGTGAGAGGTGAGAGGGCGGATTATCCCCTTCAGTTTCCTCTCCTTAATTCTTTGGGGATAGGAATGAGTCCCACAGTATCTGCTGCTGATTTTCTCTGCTCAGCACAGGGATACGCATCCTACTTCACTGGTGACAGTTTATATAGGGGATTCAATATGATCCCCTTCCTTCTCTGGAATGGTGGGGGAATTGAGATACAATGAGCTGCAGTGATTTTTTTTTGATGAAGCAGTGGCAATAAATTTAGGAATCAGGAATAAATTTAAATTCACTGTTGGCATGGGCTACCAGCTGGCATTGCTGTAGCTCAGAGCAGGAAGACTGGCAGTGAGCTAGAACACCATCTCCTTCGTCACTTGCTTTGCCATTCTGTTGCCCAGCAGAATCACCATAGGAAAGGTCACCTCGTTCGTTTTTTTCCTGCAACGTTGTCTTGGTGCAGGTGAGAGGAATCCTGTGCTATTAAATGGAGATGTCAGCGAGGGCAGGATCTGGCTATGGTGCATGCTGATAGCTTTTTGCAGGCATTTGAAATCTGCCACGTGCTCTGGGTGACCCTGCGTGTGCAGGGGGTTGGACTAGATGATCCCTAGAGGTCCCTTCTAATCTTAAGGACTCTATAATTCTATGATTCTAGTCCACCCTAGGCCACTTGTGGAAATGGTCCCAAGAGCTGATGTGCCCTTGTGAGATTTTTGTTTAGCCAATGCTCTCCTACTTTGAATCTTTGCCTTTTGCCTGCACTGATGCTTCTGTGGTCCTTGCAGGGGAGTCCATTCCCATCAGACTCTTCCTGGCTGGCTACGAGCTGACCCCAACGATGAGGGACATCAATAAGAAGTTCTCGGTGCGGTATTACCTCAATCTGGTGCTGATTGATGAGGAGGAGAGGCGCTACTTCAAACAGCAGGTGAGAATCGGAGCAGTTAGGTTTCGGGGAACCTCCACACTGTTCCTTGGGGTACTGTTTTAAGGATCTTTGGGAAGGTGGGATTCCCACAGCTGGGGGGATCATGTCCCTGAGCTGAGAATCCATCAGGACGGGACCACTTGGGAAGGGGTCTAGAAGAGATGACCCCTACAGTTCGGATGTGCATGGCTGTGTGGGGTTGTGTGTACGAGGGTGCCTACATGGTACTGCTCTGCCACTTCATTGCCTGGTGCTGAATTCACCTTACCAATTCTAGTGGGTCGAGTTGTCTCTGGGGATGCAAGGTGCTCCCCTAGCATCCTGGCTTAGCATTTTGGTTCGAGTGGCTTTGGGTGGAGCTGGGAAGAGGTCTCCGAAAGCCCTGACGAGCCCTGCTGGCTGTGTTACTACAGGAGGTGGTGCTTTGGCGGAAAGGAGACATAGTGAGGAAGAGCATGTCCCATCAAGCAGCCATCGCCTCGCAGAGGTTTGAGGGGACATCCTCGCACGCCGAGGCCAAGACCCCCAGCCAGCCTGCAGAGAACAACAGCCGGCAGTGAGAGGCCACGCAGAGGAAGGCAGGCTGCTGCGGAGCCGCTGGGGGCAGCAGCGAGGAGGAAGAGAGAATACTTCAGAGACTTCATGAAAATAAATATCCGTTTTTGACTTAATTCCTTTCTTCGAAGGACAAGCAGGGTGGGGAGGGGATAAGAGGGCAAGGCAAGCGGGAGCTCCGGTGATGCGGAGTTGAAGGTACCTCAGTGCTTCCCAATCAACTACATTCCTCTGGGGTGGGCTGCTTTGACGCGTGTGTCCGGAGCCTGCGGAGCTGCCTGATCTCCTCTTTGCCCCAAGACCCTTTCAGCATGGTAGCGGGGAGAGAGAGAGCAAGTGAAGGCCAAATCCGCTGCTCCTCCTCAGCAGTGTGGATATTGCTTTGGGGCTGGCTAGGATAACTTTTCCTGCCTTCTGGAAAGGTAGGGAGGGAGCCAGACTGAGGTGCATCTTACCTGAAATAGTTTAATGTTGTCCCCTCTCTCCCTGCCCTTCCTCTTCATGATGTTGTTGGATTCTTTGTCATGAACAGT